AGATTCTGCTGGTCTGCTGGTATAAAAGGCAGAATAGGAAAAGATTGTTCATTATCTTTTTTATTTGAAACATCAAATGAAACTAACAGATACCAGATTCAAATGAAATAAAATCTGGTACTTCTTCAGGTGAGTCATGTGCCACAAGTTGCTGGAAGGTGGGAGAGCACTCTGAGAAATGCCACCGTACAGCTACCCTGGTATTATACTCTTAATTACACAGCTGCTACTTGCTGCTGTGGGAGACACAATACTGTGCTAGATGGAGCTTTAGACTAGCCAGGTGCAGCCATTATTATACTTTAGGTACAAACAGTTAAGACTTGAAAGTGCTAACCTTTCCGCAATATGAAGCACAGAAAATAGGGAAGGGGTAAAAAGCTGTTGTTATCACCATTTTTTTTAATGGTGGATCGAGCAAGAGGCTGTTACATGACTTGTCCAAGATCATACAAGAAATCAGTATCAAAGTTAGGAACTGAGAGGAGATATCGGGTCTCCTTCAATGCCTGAATTATAGGATCATCCTTTCCCCTCAGTTAGCCACCAAAAATCTATGAAGTGAAAACAGAATTGAAAGCATTGAATTGTCAGGCTTAGAAGTATCTGTTTTTCCATGGAAACCTCTTTCTAGCCGCAGCTAAGCTTTTGCAAGGAGAGAAGCACCTCTCATCGTGCAAGCTGTTAGAGAGCTGTACTGAGCAAAATACTATAGATGTGTAGCTGCCTTCTAGAGGAAGTCTCGTCCCGCAGCCAGATGGAATACAGCCTGGATCCGGACAATCCAGCTGTAATTCTGCCTACTTAATAATTTTTCACCATGGTCACGCCAGAATCATAGTTATGTTTTCTGTTGTCTGGCTGTTAGTGGTGATATATGTATAAGTAAGAAAGACAGCTCATTTTCATAAGCCAGCTTGTGCCTGGAGTAACAAAGACTGAGAAAAGTGCACTTAATTATAACTGCAAGGCCAGAGCAGAAAACAATGAAAACGCTCTTGCTGTTAGTCATAGTATTTTATGGTAATAACTCTTAAAAGGAAGAAGCAGGCAGTTCAGAATACTGAACAATTCGAATTCATTATGGTAGCCACGGCGCTCTCATTTGCTGAAAGAATAACTCTTCCATCCTTGCCTTTTACAAAGGCCTGGTGGCAGGGAAGATCAACACTCTAGTCTTTCACCTTGAGGAAGTCTGAATTCAGATTCCTATGCGATCAGAGGTGAAACGACACTGGTGAAATACCAGCTAGGAAGTTTCATTCACATTGCAAAGGCAGGCCCAACAGCCCTGTAACCTTTGCTTAGGAGACTAAGTTTATCAAAAGCTGATAGAGCAGAGTTTCAGCAGAACTGCCTATGCCTCGTGGGGAAGACAGGAAGAATGGCAGAAGGACAGGTCAGGGCAGAAGTCAGAGAACTGTGGACAGGGAGAGTTTTCACTGTCCCTGCTCACACCACGCATTGCTTTGGCCAGTACCTTGTTTCTTTGGCCAGTACCTTGTTTCTATGACTTTCTAATGCAGCTGAAAGTAACTAACTAAATGAAATGGCTGCTAATACTCAAATACATTAGATAAATTTTCTCACTCAAAATGATTGATCATCAATATCAAAATATTTTGATGGAAATATTTTGAAAGTTTTGATGGAAACATATGGAGTTGTTCAAAATTAGAATGGCAAAAATTTATGATTTGGGGATTTTTTGGAACTTTTATATACATAAAATAATATAGCATATAAGTTATATATTATACATCTATATTACATATCATGTTATTCAATACTATTGAAATGAGGTATTGTACATTGTTAAAATAAAGCATTTAGATGTGATTATTTTGATGGTTGCAAATCAAAATATCTTGGGACCTCTTTTCCAGAAAATATTTCTGATTTTGAGTTTTTTATCCTGATTCAGAATGGAAACATGTTTTTGAACCATCAAAATTTGCTATGCAGCTACAGTTCTGTTTTTCTGATCAGTTCTGCCCTCAGTTGAGATCATAGAGATAACATAAAGGCTATTCTTCTTTGGAAGAGCCAGCAACACCATCCCAGGCTAGAGAAAACTGAAGTATAACTAGTGAAGGTACTAAATGTATCTTCATAACTTTCTCCAAGATGGCTTGGGAGACAAGTCATTTCATCTGCCTAATCGGATTTAGGAGTTAACAACAGTAAGAGTTCCAACAGCTAACAAGGTATGTGATACATTAGCCTAGGACAGTACCTGAACATGCGTGCATTCCCAGGAGGCTCCAAAAGCAAACTGAAATGAGTTAGCTAACACATTCTACTTTGTGACAAGCCAAAAGGGTAGGTACAGGCAGTTAGTCCAGCTCAGTTGATACTAAGTCACACTATCTTAACCATGTATCTAAACCCTAAAGCTTACATGTTAATTGCTGCCTTCATCTATGTCCCGTTATCAAACCCCCAGGAATACTGTTGAGGGAAGGATTTGTTCTGGAGCCTTTAAAAATCCAGTGGAAAAGGAGAAGGAAATGGTACAACTACAAGAAGTATATGGAAATATAATTTCCTAAGCCTCTCAGTCTATATTGGCATGAGAAATACTAACGGAGAAAGAAGTATTTCAGGGGTATATTTTCAGAACCGAGGTTTTGAACTAGTATGTGGGAAAGCAAAGCCATTAACAAGCAGCAAGGTTTATTCATTTTTTGTTATTCGTCATTTTGAAGGCTGAACTCTGTGACTTGTTTGGCAACACGTGGGGCTGAAATAATGAAAGCAGATTGATGCTCCATGGTAAGGAAGTTCAGTATCTGCTTCTTGCAAATGGAATTCTAACATTTCTTTTGATGTTAGCAATACTATCCTCAAAAGCATCTGCTGACTGCTGAGTTGTGAAATGTGCTGTTAGAGTATGGGCAGGGTCACTCCCTTCCTACCAGCTGTGCCAGTCCATGCCAGCTCAGCTGCACCTACATTTTTTACTGTTTTTAATCACTCTTTATTAGCCCTGGTAGTTTCTTATTTTGATTTATTCTACCTCACCTGTAAGGGAGTGGTTTATAAAGAGCAGTCAGCCTTCTAGCACAGAATCAACAAGTGTTAGTTTAAATCTGTGCCCCTTGACTACGACTTGTTTCAGTCAGTCGAGATCCCTTTCACATTTCCTCACAATATATGGCCCATGGGGCCTCATTTGCTGTCCAGCGTGTTCTATGTGTCTCACAGGTTGAGAAATCCTACAGTTTGTTTGTTTGGAGAAGGAGCAGACCTTCCTTTCAGCAATTGCTTAGAATGCATCTGCCTCTAACTTGAATTCCTCTCATTTGCTTAGGCACTGTGCTCTCCTAATATTATCAGTTTTGAGTAGTACCAGTGGAGTGATAAATGCATGGTGGGCTTTTGTATGATCCTTTCCCCTCTCACCTAGATTTCTCACCTTTTTAAACAACTGATGAAGGAGTATAATTTGGAAAAGGAAATATATAATATATAATGCAAAAGGAGAGACGTCACTAGGAAATGAGGGCTGGTGAGGACCGGCATGTTGTAACTGGAATGGAGTAGGTCGATCCTGAACAATGGTATGGAGTGCACTTGGTAATCTTTCGAAGTCATTTCTAGATTGATTTTCATTCACTCCTTGAATGCCTTTGTAATGTGCAGTTCTGCTATATTTGTTAAATGCATTGGCAACTCACTCCTCCTTACCCCTTACACTCTTTGCAACTGAATTCTGCATAAGGATTACTAATGTTCTACCGAGTTAAAGAGCACAAGAGACTGTCGTGGTCACCTAACCCATCCTAACTTTTTGCTAACTGTTTATGAAGTTAAATGAATCACTTCTGTCTTTATGTCCTGCTTCGCAGCGCAGTCTGTCTTTGACCGTACCAAATTTGGGTGATGCAGATGTGGTCCTACATATGCAGCACAGAATGATAATTTAATACTTTCCGTGCACTGCTGTGGCCCTATCCCCAGTTTTACTAGCATAGCTAAGATTTGGAAATATTCTTGCAGAGCATGATATTTAACTGCTTTCTAGAAAGATCGTAAAACAATTTCCAATCCCAGTCATACTGCCCTTTCTGAGTGGGTCCCTCTGTCAAAACACCACTGCCTCTGTCAAAACACCATTCCCTTTCCTTCGTTTGTTTCGATCCAAATGCAAGTTTTTTCTTTCCCTCCTTCACAAGAGCACCATTTCAATCACTTTTCTTATTTACATTTTATACAGCACATCTCAGGATAGATAATTAAGTCCTTATCTATACAAACATTCACTTTTTGGTTGATTTTTAAGCAGTGCAAACCTTCTAGACACATTTGATTTAAAACACGTTTTACTCTAGCTGAAACCAGCTGCTAATCAATGTAAGCTAAACCAAAATAAGCCCATCTAAAGCTGAAATCATAATTTCACACAGGCATTACCTAAATGAGTTTTAAATTACTCTTTTGAATTAAAACAGTGCAACTTTCTTATGTAGGTAAGCCCTTAGAATCCAGTATTTTCTAAAGCAAAAGGCATTTCCTTTGTGACTGAGAAAAAAACCCTGAAACCAGTTGGAGGAGCATGGGAAGAGAATAATTTATTATATTAAACTTTGTTCTTCAATTATATTATCTCTATCAGAGTATAAGCAGATCTTCATATTAGATGATCATTTTACCAACACTTATTTCTCACCAGGAGTATTCTTCGTCATTGTATTCCAAAATCAAGCAGCATTCGGATTTGTCTGGGTGATATATCTTTGTCAGCATGGCAAAGGTTCCCACAGTGTTTAATTACTCAGACTAGCCGGGGGAGAAGGAAAGAAATGAGCTGTGCTGAGCGCGCTGTGCCAGGATTGTTTTCTGTTGCATAAGTAGGCATCTTCCTAATGCATGAAAGGAAGGCAGCCTCAGAACTGCTGTCTTCTGTTTCCACTGACTGTCCCACTCCAGATTTTGTGTTTACTATTGATTGGCTGCTTTTTTTTTTAATGATGTGTTTGCAATTTGCTCATTTCCAGGGCAGCAGGTTCTTGGCTTGGTGGAGAACCAAAGTGACTGGTATCTGGGCAACCTTTGGAAGAATCATCGACCCTGGCCGGCACTTGGGAGGGGCTACAATACAGGTAAGCCCTGAAGGTTTTCTTTGAATTAATATTTGCATTGAAGCTGGAATTTGTCTCCTGGTATAGAGTATGAAATACAGTACCTCTAAACCTCCTTCCCAACCTACCTCAAAATTTGCAGCTTAGAGTAGTAAAAATGATGCGTGTGATGCATTTTGGAGTTTCTGCTCTTATGCTGTTCTGTGGGGAACATATTCCTTCTCTAAATGGTCTTAAGAGAGATTATAAGAAATCCTTTGGGGAAGGACAGAGCTTTTCAGCCGTCTGACACATCCATAGCACATCTCTTACATAAAGATTTCTCTCTATGATGAGCACCTGAAGCGTATGTAGGCCCAGCAAGAGGGAAAGAATAGGAATTAAGGCTCATTTTCTGCAGAGAGGTAAATAGTATCACAAAATGTCAGCCTAGTAAAGATATAACTCCTGCAGGACAGCAACAGGGTCATAATTGTCCTAATAAAATGCAAACCACTGGCCATCAATTTCTGCTACCATGAGAAAGGAATAAAAGCACTAGATCAGATAATTTATTAGGTTATGAGAGACAGGTCTTCCCACTGATTTGTGTTTGGTATATGAGAAAACATACCAGGTGCTAAAGAACACACACATACATCTAAATCATTTCAATGCTAGGTTTTATGCGCTGGTGCAGTGAGTTAGGTTCCCTCTCTGTTTGTAATAAAAGGGCAGAACAGATGGTGAAGGCTCCATTTAGAAAAGATGAGTCTATTTAAATAACCCTGCACTATCAGAAAATGATTCACCATAATAGTAGTTTTGCCGAGCAGGAATATGCAGGATTGAATTAAACGGATTAACTAGAAAAAGGATTGCACACAGTTGTAGCTGGGTCATCCGTATTTCTATATTTCTTTGTATATTGGGGGGAATCATGCCAGCTTTTGTGAATTTGAATTTCAGCCTTTGCAAAACATCTCTGTTCTCTGGAAATGTTCAAGAGAATAACCTAAAAGAACTCAGATAGGTATGGATGTAAGATAATGACAAATGAGCTTTATTTCCTGGTTCTCTACTCACCAGAGTAGAAGTCCGTATTATTAAGGCTTGGACTGCCACCACCCCTCAAATACATGAGACAGAGCTAAGTTTCATGGGTTTGCCATGATACCTGAAAGCTCATGTTATACATAATCAAAACTTGTCAACGTCAGTTCTGTTCAGTGTTACAGCATGAAGCAGTATCTTTTGTTCTTCTGAAAGATGACTGCCTTTTATAGTTACCTTCTGTTGAATTTTTATGTTTTCCTTTCTGCCATTTTAATGCTGATAGAAAGAAATGTGGCACAACTACATAACATCTCAGAAATGTATGGTATGTAAAATTACAGTTATGTAAATAATAATGCTGTAAAGCTTTAATTTATGTTGTCGTAACTTACTGATCTAAAGTGTTTTTAAGAGTACCAAATGTCAGTGTATCACAAAACTCTTCCACTAGAAGCAAAACTAATTGGTTATCAGTAGTCCTTCACATTTATTGTATGTGTTAATTTGTGATGAGTGCAAATACATAGCTACCCATCCATGAATAATCTTGCCCGTGATTTTAGTCTGTTTACAATTTCTTTCTTCAGACAACTCACATGCAGTTATGAAAACTATTTTTTTTTCCAAAGAGACATAGAGAGAAAACCAAAAGCTAGATAATGAACGGAGGATTGCATAGGTGATTATAACAAATGGAATGAAATTTTTTCATGCATGCAACAAAGGGCCACTGAGTAAAACACTGCAAGCTCTGAGAGGTAGCAACTGATAAGTTATTGACAGAATCAGCATAATTCGCTGTAATTTTTTTTATTTGAATTCGTTGTTTGTCTCAGTAATCTAGCAGAGATTGGAGGTAAAAATCTCTCAAGGAAGAAGAAATAGCAAAAGAAACTGGGATTTTTTTGATGTATTCAGCTGGCACTGAAGACAACACTGTGGCCAAGGAGGATTCAGAAAGCTAAAGGAGGGGGCCAAAGAAAGATGATAACTCTAAGCAAAATTCATGCAAAATTCATGACCAGAGCTGGGCCAGGAAAGGGAAAACTCAGAGCTTCAGGTGTTTAAAATAGTAATGAGAAACAGTAAAAGAGCCCCCAAAACCCTGCAACTGTAATGAGCTCAGTAAAGACAAATCAGAAGGAAGGTATGAGAGACTGTGATCCTAGCAGAGTGTCTTAAGCTGTATTCTTAAGAAAAGAGATTTTTATGTGGGTCTCTTCAGCCAGGTCCAGCCCTGGAAGATTTGATACAGAAGCACTCCTCTGAGTCAAAATTCTTCCATTACCTTCCACTGCTTTCCCCTTATTTCTAAAGCAAATAATTTATCATTCACCTCTTCCTTTTGTCTCAGCCAAGCTGGACGGCATGTAGGTTGGGGGAGTCCCAGAAAGCAGATACATTAAAGCCAAAGATGTGTTTGTTTCTTCTCCACTGATTCTTTAAACCTAGTAAGTCCTCCTGTTCCTGTGTGCCAGACCAAATCTCCAGGCAGCCGATGCAGATGTGGAAGGAAAGTGTTTTGTTTGGTTGGTTTTTATCTCTCTTGCTCATTTGCACAGGCAGATAATCCAAGTCACACTTGAGTCCATGCTAATATAATCTTAGCAAAAGCAGAGCAAACTCAAAGTCAGTTCAGTGATAATTTCATCTTGTGTAAAATGTTCTTAGCTAGACCCTTAGCTATACTCTTAGCTGAAGTCTCAACAGCTTGAGCTGAAGGCTCATACTCCCACATTGAGAGATGTCACATTATCAATTTGTGGACTGAGAACAGAAGGGAATTGTTAGCTCTTACCAGGCTACGTGTGCATCTTGCATTGTTTATTCAATGTTTATAACAACTGGAAGAATGATGGAATGAATCCTCTTTTCTTTATTGTTTGACTGAAATCGCGCCAATGAAGGATGAATTGGAAGTGGGAAGCATATGTTGTGTCATTTTTGCATGCTATTTAACAATTATAAATAATAAAGACAGCAGTAGGGCAGATTGTTTATATGAAATTAGGTGAGATCATATCTGGTGCTTCTTCATGATGATACTGTGCATCTTCAAGACAGAAAGTAGATGATGTAGAGAAAGGCAAAATAGGTTGGGGGGGAGGTTCCCATGGAGCTGTCTGTGGTCCTGATCCAGAAAAGTGACAACTGCCTTTTTCTGTGCTCTGTACACCTCCATCCACTATTGATATAACCAGATAGGCATGTGTGTTTTCAGAGCAAGATTTCACTGAACTGGACACTGTGATATTGGATCTGATGTTAAGAAGTGCTGAACACTTTTAAGTAGACATTTCTGTTTTTCAGCAAGCCTCACAATTAATGCTTTGAATAGATACTATTGCCTAATTCTGTGCAGATGTATTATCAAAATGCCTTTTTTTTCCCCTGGAAGGCTCAGAATTCTATGAGAGCCATCTGTATATAATTTGCAAGTCATATTCCATAGATGCTGACTACAGCTAGCACTTTTCTCCATGGTCTAGAGAAAGGAATATATTGTTGTTTGAGAGAGGAGAGTTTTCAGAATTGTCTTAATGAATGAAAAAGTCAGGGAACTCATGGGTTTTTGAACCATTAAATATCCAGCATCAGGCCCTGACACGGGAGAATGTCACTCAATTTAACCAGGCCCTCTCTAAAAGCCATTGCAATACTCCTACCTCCCAATACATAAAACATTAGTCACTTTTGGTACCAGTCATTCAGGAATTGCTGTCATTACATTTGGTTGTAAGTACAGGAGCCTTTGAGAACAGATGCAAAACACATTTTAATGATTAAAAAAAAATCCAGAAGAAAAATGAGATCTAACACCACTATCAAGGCAAAAAATAATACTCTCTTCACCTACTCAGATTCATGCTCTACTAGTTGTTCAGATTTTTGAATCAGATGGTTATTTCTGTAAGTGACTATGAGCTCACTCAGCAAATAATGTGAATATCAGTGCAAAGCGTACTTATGTACATGTGCTTTATACTGCACAAAACTGCAGTAATTTAGGAAGTGCCCACACATTGGTGTTTTCAGGCTCAACGAGAAAGCTTAGTCTGTTTGTGTCAATGTCTGGAAGCTGAAATGGTAATTCTGCTTTTGATGACCACCGCCCTATTTTTGTTGGCTGTACTCTTTAGTTTGCACTTACTTAAAAATAACCTATCTAAAAGCTGACTACTCACAAGAATAGCTTCCTTTTCAGCCTTTTTCATTCACTACCTAAAGCATGTGTTGTACCAAGAACTTGTTTACAGCACACTTGACATTTCTGAAATGCAGGTCAATATGTATTTGATTTTGAAAATGGTACCTCCAGGTTGAGAGGCCTATCCACATAATAATGGGATTGCTGTGGCGGAATTAGTCCTCTGTTCATTGCATTCTCTAAGATACGTCCTCTGCTCCTTGGCAATTGAATCTATCAGGCCCTGCAATAAATGCATTTTTTTAAAATAACACCTGACTTTATTTACACCGACAACTTTCAAATTCTGTGAAACCTGCAATGAGGAGACAATGGCATTCAGACAGTCCATATCAAATTCTAGTTTCCATTGTACTGGGGTAAATAAAAAGTAATTCATTTGAGTTGACGGAATTGTCCAAGGTTTTTTTTTTTTTAGTGATTTGACCTGAGTTCATAATGTAGATTTTTGTGTAATGTACCTAAATAGGATATATATTTACTATTGCAGTCTAATGATTTAAAGAATCATTCTGAAGTGTGGTATTCTTAGCTTGATAGAGACAATTCTTTATGTGAATATACATAGCTTGATGAGTAATTATGTTGTCTAGCACTCTGAAATGCCCTCTCTCTTTTGTAGAGGGGCCATCATTAGTAGATTAAATTTAGACAAAAGACTTGCACATAAAAGCTTAGTAGAGACATCCAGGTGCCTAAACCGAGAATAAAAACCTCTATTATATGTTATATGCGATTGGCCTTTGCCACAAGGGCACACGGCAGGCTCATGTTCAAT